CTTATAACTGGAAACACCATTTTCTGGGGAGAAGTCTCTTTAAAATGGGATTTAAAGTAGCCCATTCCTTCGCGTGTGTTTTCAAAGGTCAGGTGTTAATTAAAAAACTTTAAGTCATTCTCTTATTACAGTGTCAGAGTTACTCAGGAACAGTCAAGCTCTTGATATAATAGCCTGTGAAATATTTCCTTGTTCTGTAGCACGTCCCATAGATTGTATGATTCTTTGGAGCTTCATACCTGACTTATCACATTTATTAAAGAGCAACTATTTACTTCTAACCCCCTGACTGTTGACTAGTCTGAGCCATCTTCACAGAGTGAATGAGAATACTCAACTCTTGCCCAGGGATAAGGGGTACAGTTTATCATTCTGTTGTGCTCTGAGATCATTGGGGGAGTTCAAGAAGAAACTAGAATCAGAATAAAGACCCATTCTTGAAAAAAATGAGAGAAATAATTTTGAAAAGGGACTCCAGTGAAATTCTGCTTGAAAGGGCAGAAAATAGGTCAGTAAGAGGAAAGAAGGTTGGGAATTGAGGAGGTCATGACTGAATTGGTTAGAAAGAACAGAATAGGATGCGGTAGTGAAGGATATGGTAGGAAAGCCCTGGTACTACTTAGACAAAGAGGATGGATCTTTGTGAGCAGAAGAGCAGGAGGAAAGGAAGACAGACAGGTAGAGAGGGCAATAACAAAAAGTGGAAGGAAAGATATAGGAGAAACCTCTACAGAAGGACTCAGTTGCATATATGTAGATACCTGGTACCATTTTACATGCCCATATTTCAGTTTCCACTCCAGAAGGTTCTTTGCCACACATGCCAAACCTATGCCTATTTCTTGGTTACTTTGAAGTGAGACTAGAGGTGATGGGCAGGGGGGTAAGAAGCGTGTGTTACAGAGGCTGAATAGACAAGAAAACTTATTCAGAGGGGTAGCCATTTGTGTTGAAGAGGAAGGACCAGAAGACAGAAGGAAGTGGGATACAACAGGAAAAAAAAAAGCCACTTTGCTCTGAAAGTCTCCCATCCAGAGCCTAGGATGGATTCCAGGATTCGGAATTTCCCTCGGTTATGTGATTTCTGTCTGTGAAGCTCGCTGACTGTCTTTTTATTTAGCCTGATGTTCTTCTTATTTTACTTGGCCAGCTTATAGGGCTGAAATCTATGAAATAGCTTGCAAGTAGTTTGTGTAGAGAGTTCTATGAGAATAGTTAGCTTATATGAGTATATCTTCATTTCCATCAAATTTTATAACACAAGTTAGTAGGATCAAAATAGCGGATATGTGGATCCTCTTTTAATAAATTACAAGTTAATTAAGGTTATGTTTATATAAAAAGACATTATTACAGAAGAATATGACTTCAATATACTGAATCAATGGAACTGCTTTAAGCCACAGGTAAAATAGAAAATAATTGTAAGCAAAATAACTATTTCTAACAGTTCCAGAAGTGTTAGCAGTTGCCACAACAGGATCTACTTAGCTATTCTTATCTGGGCTTGGGAAAAAGAGGCTTGCTGTTTCAATTCTTCAACTGCAGTATTAAATCAATATTTGCCTGGAACTTATATTATCTGACAGAAATTTTTTCAGAATGTATTTCTATTTTATTTTAGGCTTATTAACCGTAAAAAAATGCTTATATTAGTGGAAACAGAATGAAACAATGATGAACAAAAGGAAAGCCAGTAGTCCATTAAATTGAAAGCAAGGTCCAGCTCTTTTGCCTAATTCAGACTGTAAATTATTTTGTGCTTTTTCTGGGTTGACAGAATTAACAGCTAAGTGACTAAGTTTTGCAGTTTTTGACATTTCATATATGCCAGAGTAGATGATTTTAATTTTTCACTGGAAGTTTGATGAAAGTGGTCCCCTCAAAGCCTTTTGTTTATATTCATAGACTACTTTGCATGTATTTATATATATATATAAGCAATTTAAAATTGGGAAGAATTATGCTACCCTATGCCAGTAATGCTTAAAATATGCCTGGAGGTTCTAGTCTTTCTTTTTACAAATGCTGGTTTTAAAAAGGAAAATAAGGATGGGGGTGAAGCACACCAGTCACTAAAATAGTGTTGGCACAGATTGTCCTTCAGAAACAATATTTTTTTAAGTGTTAGTGTCTTTTCACATTGAAGGAGAAATTGTTCTTTAAAAATCTTCCTACCACGGAAAGCAGCTGAGAGCTGGATTGAACTGTACACGCGGTGTTACACACTGCGGTGTCTGGTGTAAAGGAATAGGCAAGTGCTGACAGTCAGCACATCAAGGACAGGGGTATTAGGGAAAAATGTTTACAAGGTTGGAAGGAGTGATTGGAAGCAGGGAACATATCTGGCCTCTGGAACAGATGACAGACTAAATAAAGCCGTTTTCAGAATTGGTGTATGTTTTTCAGGGGGTTCTTTTTGAGAATACTTTCTATCTTGTGTTGAGTATTATACTAAAAATTTTCTACCATGGTGGAAAAATACTTTTGGAGCTGTTATATGTGATAGATATGTAAAAATATATATATGTTACATCGATTTAAAATACCTTGCGTTCTGGACTATATAAAATAAAAATAAATAAATAATTTTAAGTATTTTTAGATAGAACATAATCTGTCAAGATTTTCGGTTAACACAGATTATGTCAGGGAAATACAGTGCTACTGTAATGGTCAACAACAAACAAGCTCTTTCATTATTTTTCTTTTGGGAAAACAAGGCTGAAAGCTCTACCTAGGATAATTTGAAGGCTATGAGTCATTCTCTGTTTATTTTTATATATCTTGTTCTTAACGTTTCATAGCTAAGATGAAAGAGCAAATAGCAAAATGTGGAGTAATTCTTAGAGATTAGTCAGTTTTTATGTCTCTCAGATGGCACATGTTAAGAGATAAAATTGTAATTAGATTTTTTCCAAAAATACACATAGCTTAACAGGAGGCTAAGAACTTTATGAAAAAATATGTGATAAAATTTAGTGAAAAGTTTAGCACTGTCTTCTGGTTTGGCCTTAAAAATCTTAGTCTCTTGGTTTGTTAAGTGGGGAATGAATCTTGTCAAAACAAGTAGAGTGTTAGAACTGCGATATTAATATTGATATTAAAAGTGTGGCTGGAAATGTGTTACTGAAGCCTACTATATGTTAAAATAACAGACTTCTGTCATGGATACAGCAACGTGTAATATTCTGGCTAAAAGTTCGCTGTGTAAATCCAACGTAACACATTGGATTTAAGTATCAGTTTAAGGTTTTTTTAATGGAGACTCAACGTCCCGTTCTCAGTGAGAACCTTCAGGGTTTTTCATGAATTAGTGCTGCTGTTTATGGCTTTCACTTGGCAAAGAGAATGAGAATCTGATGTTTGTCAGTAACAGCTGAAGGTACTATAGAAACAAGAGAACAGCAAACACTGATAAAATTAAGCCAACTGTATAGAAGAAAATGGTGGAAGACCCCCTCAAAACTTATTTCTTCCAGCTAATCACATTTTATTAAAGTGATTCCAAGACTCTCAAGATGTTATTTGGACATCTTTGTTATTTACAAATGAAAGAGCTTATAAAGCAGTCTCATTTAAGAGAACAAGTAATCATAGTGAGTAAAATCTAAAATGCAGTTTCCTGTGCAGCAAAGTGTCCTCATCAGCTTTAATCAGTCCTTACTTTTAAGGTTTAAATAAGGTTAAAACTTGCTGAAGTGGAATTATACTAAGGTATATTCACATATACTAAGGTAGAATTCACATTTTCTCAGGATGAAAATCAAAAGAAATCCAGGTAGAGCAGGTTACTCAGGGCTTTGTCCAGTCAAGTTTTGATCATCTCCAAGTCAGAGTTTCCACAGTCTTGCCAATCTTTTCCAGTGTTTTATCATCGTAATGGTAAAATTGGTGGTGGTGGGGAATTAATTTATTTTTTTTTTTTTTAAATTGAGTTCCAACTAGTGTTCCTTGCTTCTCATGCTCTTACTGTGCACTTTCAAAAAGAGTTTGGCTCTGTTTTCTCTATACCCTTGTGATTTAGGTATTTCTAGGGAGCAATATGATCTTACTTTTGTAGTACTTTTACCTTTTCTTCTGTGTGTGTGTTCATGTAAACACCTAGCCTGAAGATCTTCATTACTGTTCTGAAATTGTTTTCTGTGAACAAAATGCTACTTTTGTCGCTGGAGGCTCTAAGCTTCCCTTTTGACAGTACAAGGTGATGCAGAATTATTGAAAGGATAATGAATCAGCAGTACAATGTACCAATTAGATTAATTAGATTTCAAAATTTGATGGATAACCATACTATGTGGAGAGATACGAAGCTATGACCTTACTCCTGAGAGGCAAGAATACAAGCAATTGAGACTCGCTGACATTTAAGGCGCGCTCTGTGTGTGTGTGTGTGTGTGTGTGTACAGCTAGATAGATGCCTACTTAGGTTGTCTGTCTCTATCACGTCCATTGTCTCCTTGAAGCAGAATTGTTCCTGGACTAATTACAAAGCTTCTGTTAGTTCACCAAGCTCGTTTTTCTCCATAAATCAGCAATATGAGCCCTGGCTCATGTATTTTCTGAGTTGGGGTAGGGTTTCATTTGTATTGAATCAGTAACTATCTGAACCCGGGGCATTTAAGTTTAAAGACTATCCCTGTTTGTGGTTTCAGTTTTGATACTTCTTTTATATCACTAGTAATAAAAAGAGGTCATGGTAAATATTTCAAATGCTGAATAGGAAGGAGCTTTTATGCTGATATTCACTGTTGAATTTGGTCCAAAAAATCTTTGTTTGAAATAATAAAAAGCATTAAGTGAGAAAACGATGCTGTTTATAATAGGTCTTGATACACCTTTGTTTAACTTAGATTTGCACATGTTAACTGACCATGGTTCCTTCCAGTCTGTTGAAAAGTTACGTCCTTAAACTGGAATGAACGTACAATTTTAATTATCAGCAAACATAATTTATTTGTTTCCTACAAATATTAATTACCTTTCTTGCCTTTTTTCAGGGAATGTATATCAAATCAACATATGATGGACTACATGTAATTACAGGAACAACTGAAAATGTAAGCCTTTTTATTCTAAATTACTTTTATCATGCGTACACTTATTTTGGTATATCTGCAATGGTGCATTTTGTAATATGAAAACTTGCTATTTTCTTTATCTTTTCTGTATATATATCATATCACCTTTGTAAAAACTTGAATATGACTAATAACTAACAATATAAAAAAAGGAAAATCTTGCATTTCTGTCCTCAATGATTCTTCCAATACCCCTTTCTAATACTGTTCTTGTTTATGTTCTCTCTGGCACAAAAGTGTTTTCCTTTATATTAAGTGATTTTTTTCTCACGTAAGAGCATCATCATTAGTCTAAAATATTATTTGTTGTATTTAATTTTTGTACTCGAGATAATTCTCTCAGAACATAGGACAGTTCGGGTTCATACTAAAAATAAGAAGTATTTTCCTGTCAACAGAACAGTAGAAATAATATAACAGGGGGAAAAAAATCTGCGTCAGGTGTTTATATTGACTAAAGTAGTCACAAAATTGCAGCTACTGGTAAGCGTGGTTGTCATCTGAGCAGCCCTTAATATCAAGTCAGCTTGCTTTTTGCAGTGAGTAAATATTGTCATACAATGGTGAACACTGTTTTGCTAAGAGTTCTTTGTTTTCTTCTTAGAATGGACGGCAATTTTTTTGTGATTTTTTGTTTGTTTGTATGTGCTAGTTACCAAATTAATTTAAAAAGAATGTTAGAAAAATTAGACTTTTGGAGGTGATGCCTGTCCTAGGATTGACTCACAGAAAATGAGTAGCTTCTGTATGTCTAAGCAATTCAGTAAAAATATATTATAAAATAATTAATTTTAAAATAGTTACTATATCAGCAGTATGGGTAGATGTAAAAAACGTGTAATGAGGAAAGATAACATAAAATATTATATTTTATATCAGACAGATTATAGAATAATCTTTGATAAACCAGAAAGTTTTCAAAGCTAGCAGTAATTACTGACAGGACTAGCACTAAGAAGAGAGAAATTGTAATAAGGAGCAAATAGATTTTGGTACATGAGCAGAAGGGGATGGATGACTTACAACGTTAAGAAAAAAAAGTTAATTAACAATCCAAATGACTGTTGTGTGAAGATGTTCTTTTATGAAAATAACCATTCCTGAAAGAATTGTATTAGGAGAAGGTAAGCACCGTTGTATTTTCATGTTTTCCATCATCTCTAGTAAAAAACCAGAAGAAACCCAGAAAAATGTATTAATTATCTTTTTCATTGTAGTCCCAAAAGCGTTAGGGAAATCTGAACCAAAAGCACACAGAAACGCTGCCGCACATAAATCAGGATGAGTGATCATAGAAACACCAAACAGTGTGACAAGAATAGCAAAGTAGCTTCTAAATGTCCTTCTTGTTACTTAACTTGCAATTCATAATTATAAATTTGAAGAAAGTAAATTGACTTCAACTGCTGCAATCTAATTACTCTGACAAGACTTCATAATAAGACCCATTTCTTCTGTTTGTCATAGAGAGTTTTAGTCACACTGTTTTCATTTAGTCTTGGATCTGTTTAACAGCGTATAGCTGGATAAATTACAAGTTTAGATTTTATAAAGCTAATATTGAAATTAAGTAATGCTGACACCCAAGGAACATAAAATTAGCACTGTGCAGCTCGCCCAAGATGTAAATCCTTGCTGCCATACACCAGTGGTGTGCTGGCCCTTACGGACAGGCTTCATATGTGATATTTTGTTCTGCTTGATTTCTACATATTGAGTAGTACTGCATCATGCAGGTTTTGCCACTCAGTTTTTACACAGTGGAAACCCATGGAAAGCCTGATGATTTGTGTGTCACAATTTGTGAAGAAAATTCTAATGCAAATTAAACGTAAAATTTGTTTGCTTATTTATATTAGTGCCGTTGGCAGCATTTAGAAGTCTAAAAATAACTACACGTGTCTTGGGCCCTGAAACGTATGAATGATCCATCTTGATTATGTTGCAACAGATTTTGTTCATAGGTTGAATTACTCATGCTATAATTAATACATTTTTTACTGTAAATTTAATTCATTTTAGAAATCCAATGTAGTTTGTAGGGAAAATATTTATATATTTATATATTTATATTTAGAATTCAAATTCACAGGAGGAGTTACTAAATTGCCAGCCACTAAAATACTTCTTGATAAGACACCCTAGAAGAAGTTTTTTTTTTTTGCTAAAAGTTTAATCATATGCTAAAATAAAGCAGCTTCAAAGACCTTTAATTTCTGGCATTTCAGCAAATTGATTTTTCATTGCTTCTGAAGGGATAATTGACCTCAGAGCCAGTGTTTAATTTTAAAAGATAATAATTAGCTCAGCCTCATCAAAGTCAGGAAAGGAAGAGAAAGCGTGAGGCCTTTGCTTTTCCAGGTGATGCCAACTGAAGTTGACCATTATGAGTGGTGGTGTTTGCTTCGGTTTCCTGCTTTATCTTTCATTTACCTTTTGAAGTGATCAAGTTTGTATTCACATTGAACTCTAGAAATGTGAGTTGTGAGAGCACTGCGTGAGCAGTGTCTGACTGTTGTGAGCAGTGCCTCAGGAGCATGTCATCAGTGTCTGAGTAGTGTGAGCAGTGTGTGAGTAGTGTCTGAGTAGTGTGTAAAAAGCTTGTGAGCAGTGTCTGATTGTGTGAGTGGTGTGAGCAGTATAGTGTGACGTTTAGTGCGGTGCAAAAGAGGAGTCTGCTAAAATTCTGCAAGTCTCCACTAAAAGGAGAAATTGACACAGGAACCATGTAGTTCTTCACATCATCCTGTAAAGTATGAGGTAAAATCCTGTTTATTTTAGTGCAGAGGGACAGAAGTTGGTATTTGGCTGTAATGACCAGGTAGTTTAGCTCAAGGGCTGGACTCCCCACTGCAGGAGACACACAAGCCCTTACAAAAGAACAACAGAGATCAAACAGGTGAGGAGGTGGATTGTAGCCTGTGTTGGGGAGGTTGGGCAGAGCAGGGTTAGGAATGATAAGCAAGCAGTAGGCTGAAGGTAGAAGCTATGCTTGGAATAGCACCTATAACACACTTGGAATCACTGTCAAATATTGGCTATTAGCCCTATTGGCTTGGTTGTTCTTCCTGATTGAATAATTAATGATGTCGCCTACTATTCTCCAGCAGCTGTGTATCTGCAGAATCTATTGATTAGTCAGCAGGTGCTGACTATTGGAGAGTGATTTGACCTCCTCATAGATGAGTCTCTGTGGCATTTTATTCAGCGATAATTGCAGTCTTTCTCTTCCCAGTGGCTATTTGGGTTTTTGTACCTCCTCCTCTTGTCCTTGTTCCTGTTTTTAATCTCCATCCGCAAGAGGGATGGAAATTATGGATGGGATTTGTGGTTGGTGAAGACTATCCAGCTGAAGAGCTCTTGCCTGTTTCCTGGAGGTTTTGATCGGTATGCAGTGAATTCATGCGTATAAGTTTCTACAAGTCACCTTTTGTTCAGTAAATGTTTTCTTCCTTTGTGTTTGACACCTGGCTCTTGTGTCATGGGCAATTTATGTTATAGGCTGGCTCCAAAAAACATCCATGAACTAAACTAAGCTTTGATAACATAAACCCTTTTCTGCGAGGAACCTGTTAACAGCATTAGCGCTAGACCACTTCCTGTAGCTGCAAGTGGGTCTTTTTTTGCCTTTCGTAGCAGGCTGCTTACTTGGACAGGGAACTTGAACTGTTACTTGAAGTGTATTTTGCTTTAAGTGTTTCTGCATTGTTTGAGATGGGACAATCTGTCCTGTCCTCTCCCTGACTACGTATCCAACAAGTAGAGTAAACATTCGACCTTGTCCAAGTCTCCTGGCTGGTCTACTTCCTTAATAGCTAACTTCCACTGGGATTTATTTCTCAAGGTGGTGTCTCAGCTCTCTAATTCTTTTCTGGTTATTTTCTCTTGAATTTCAAGTTGGTGTACTCTGTCAGTAGAATGTTCTTGTAAGCTAGTGCACAGTGCAAGTAAGTTGCCATGAATTCTCAGTTTTCTACTCCTGAGTATGACTGCTGATCTCCTGCATGCTTTATAGATTTGTCTTACAGACTGAAGATCTGGTTTCATTGAAGCATTTAAAAATAGTCCGCTAAATAGCAGTTGACCATGTTCAAGTGGCTTTTCAATGGGTTTTAGTCCATCTTATGTGATCAGAAGCAGCTACATTTAGAATAAGAGTTCAGTGATCCCAAAATCATGCGAGTGGTATATATGGAGTAATGTGTGTATGTGTTTGTGTGTCTGGATCATAAAACCTTAGAATGGTTTGGGTTAGAAGGGACCTTAAAGATCATCCTGCCATGTGCAGGAACACCTTCCACTGGACCAGGTTGCTCAAAGACCCATCCAGCCTGGCATTGAACACTTTGAGAGAGATAAATATATAAAATGTCCTGAAGAGCTAGTCTGTCACAGACATTATCCATTTGTAAATTGCCACTTTCTGTGTTCAGATGGTTAATCTAGTACTGTCTTGGAAGTGCTTGAGCTGTAGTGTCTTTGCAGAGTTTCTTCAGTGCACTTGAGCAGTAAAACTACTATATAAAGGACTATGAGACCTGCTTTTCTGTTACATGCGTGGTTGGCTCAGCCCTGTCCCTGACCATTGCAGTGGGCTCAGTATTTATTGACTTAATAGATTTGCTTCTATGTAATGTAAATTCACTTGGTGTATTCCCAGCAAGATTGAGACTGCTCATGTTCCCTGGGGAGGCAAAGAAGCTGGAATAGTTCAACCAGTTAAAAAGGCTGTTCGTCACTAATGGAAGTGGGATTCCAGATTACTTCATGGAATTGCCATCTGTAACCAGGAAAAATGTGGTTCCTTATAAAAATAGTTTTTATAAATATGACAAGTTGTTATTTGATAACAGCAATACTTATCTGGAGACGGCTTTCTTGTTTCCTTCAACATTTGTTGCTTTAATTCCTGCTCTTCCCTTCCTTCTCCACAACCCCTGTGGGAAGTTAATTCTTCTCTCTTGTCCTTAGTCTCCTGCTGATCAGTGTAAGAAGATCCATGCTGGTGATGAGGTGATCCAGGTCAACCATCAAACTGTGGTAAGTAGTTTGGAAATTGTGCTCTGCAGGCTTTGCCTATTCCCACTACTGAAAAGGTAAAAGTTCTTCTTGGAAGGTAACTCTGCCAAACTAGATTATTATTTATGTCTTTTAAAATGTCATAAACACTGCTTATGCTTAATAAGAAAAGGCACAAGTTGAGTCAGTAACCAACCCAGAAGGATTAAGCTAAATTTACATTTTGCATGGCTGCTGCTCAGCATCATACTCTTTCTGTAAGGACATCCCAGAATATTTCATTGAAGTTCTTAGACTTTTCTTTATGGATGCGCCAGCTAGTTTAACTTTTTCTCTTAAATGGAATACTACATTCTCTTTAATATGGCATTCAGATTAAAAATGCAGCAGTGCCGTAACAGCCATAGATTCTGAATCTGTTGGAGGGGGGAAACAAAAATGATTAAAGTGTTGATGGAAATCTGTCAGATTTTGCTTTTGTGCATTCTGTTATGCAGATTAATTTTTAAACAGATGAGCAGTTTTATAAGCTTAGTGGAACTATTAGTCTGTTTAAAATCATGGATTTTGTCCCACTACTATCTTAAGTCATAGGGACTGTCCTGCTTAAAAAAAAAATAATAAAATTTTATGTTGCAGCAGAATGGAAACAGTATTACTGTATTACTGGAACTACAGGTGAAAGGAACGTTTGCATTTATGACTTACTAGGCATGAGTAGCATTGTGACAATAGTGATGGTAACTTCCTAAAGTGCTTATAGTTTAATGATTTAACTTTGTCTTGCTGAACAGCATCTCCAAACACAGCAGAAGCAAGATTAAGAGATCTCTTTCTGTCTGTCATTTGTGTGAGATGGAAATAAGAAAGTCTGCCTATTAAAGTCTTATGATTAGAGAGCAAATATTTTCTCTTGAAAAGAATTATAACTTATTCATTTAGACTTTAAATGTTAATGCAGCATGCAGCTCTATCTATATTAGAGAGGTTCTGTGAGTTGTCATAGTTACAAGTTGAAATACGCATTAGACTGGTTTTCTCCATCAAACATACTCTTCAAGGGACAGACCTAATTTAATCTTTCCTCCCATAGGTGAAATCCTCTCTTTCAACTACTCAAGAATTGGCTTTCTGGATAGCAGCCAGAATCTATGTGTGTTATTGCAACAGGCCCGAGGTGTTTGATGCTTGGAATCCCTTTCCAGCTAAGGGCACAGTACCAACAGCTGAGTCGTAGCATAAAATACCTTTTCCTAAAAAAAGCCCACTATTAATTATTCTATTCCGAAGTTTATAATAAGCTAAGAAAAGAGATAAATGGCAAGCTATTTCTTTCAGAATTTTTTTCTTCCTTTGAGATGCTTGGGAAAGTCTCACTCTGTCTTCACTATGGCTTTGGAAAGTCGGACAGTAATATTGAGTATTTGCATGTTTCAGAGGTATATGTCCAACCCCCTTCCCTTTGTGGATCGGAAGCTTTAATATTTTTAGTGTCCCTTTGATCTTCAAGTGTGCCCTTTAAGTCTTGCTGCAAACTACACTTAGCTCTGTTCCTTCTTCACCCCAGTTATCACAAATTGTCATGATCGATATCATGCTTATAATTACCATTATTTCCATTAGTGGACTAGAATAATTCAGAGGCAACAGCTCATTAAATTTCCATGTAATCAATATTTTAATACCAGCAAGACCAGCTCATAAAATGAGGTGTAATCCATTTGAAATTAATAACTGGGAGGGGCAGCTGAGTAACCTTGCGAAAGAAGGCTTGTGTATCTGTGATGGGCTTAAGGGTTTTCCAGAGCTGTAAACTGTTGCTCACCAAGTAGAGGAGCAGGAATTTGTGCCTGCAGAGTCCTTGCTAGAACCCACTTCCTCATGCCAACCTTTGACTCCACAGCTTAGCAGAAGCAAGCATTAGTAGAAGTAAAATTGTAAAAGAGAAAAATATAAAGCAGTTTGAAATTACACCTGGCCAAAGTGTGCTTGTTCAGCTGCTTTGTACTTCTTGCTTCTCTCACAATATTCTCTAGGCTTTTTTCTTGCCTGGTACTTGGTAGTGGAGTTTCCACCATTAGTTTGGTTTCTGGATTAAATACTTGCTTCTTTTTGCAAAAAAATATATTCAATATTTTATCCACTTTTTAAAGTCAAATGTCACATATTTGTTCCCTCTAAAATAAAATGGCAGGAAAAGTTTGCATTGATTTGTAACAAGTTATGATGGCTTGCATTTTCCCATTACCTTTTCCTGGAGCGGAAAGAAGCAGAGTGTGTGTTTATTTCTGTGATATATCAAAATATTAAATTTATTTGGTGTGAAGTATTTACCATTGCCCTGTGAAAAGGCAAATTATTACATTTAGTGTCCTAAATACTTCCTGGGTTGATAGAGAATTTTCAAGATAGTTAAAACATTATTTACAATTTATGTATGTGGTGAAATCCACGGCCTCCACTCTCATGTTAGTTTTCCACAGAGACTCCACTTAAGGCATTAAAAGCCTAGGTGATAAAAATATAGGTGTTAGTATTAGTTCTCACTCCTACTTCAGCTGTTCAGTGGTAAGGGAGGTTCCATGCTTTCATAAAATGTATACTTGTGTTAAGTTATGATATGTAAAAAATGCAGAAATACACTTTCTTCAGAGATTTGTATGCTTCAGAGATTCTGCATCCCACAGGTTTTATCTTTGTCCTTATCTTTCTTAAGATTGAAGTCTCTATAGCATTTTGGTAATCTATCAAATATAAATCCCGTTCAACACAATGTGCTTTGAAAGAATCTATTCTGAAGATGATTAGATTTAGTAATTTTTTTTCTTGCCACTAGTGAAAATAGTTTCCTAATTAGAGAAAGTATGCATCTCTTTTAATAGATTCCAGTCCTATAACTTAGTACTGGCATCATTTGATCTGATTTTGACTGAACTAGGCCAATGTATTTTCTAGATAAATTCATATTCGCTCATTTCATAAGACTATTTGAGGTTTAAAACTTTCATCAATGTTCCCACAACCTGTAATAAATTGTTCCGGTAGTTAATTATTCTCATTGCTGGGGGAAAAAGTCATGTTATTTGTAGTCTACGTTTGTCTGGCACAAGCTTCCAGTCCTTTGATCTTGATATATTTTTATCTATTAGATTGGAGCGCAGGTTTCTCATTTAGGTGTTTTCAGGATGCAATCAAATTACCTTTTCACTTTTTTCTGATGAGCTAGATAATTTGAGCACTTCCAGTTTGTCATCCTAATGCATGACCCTCCTCAACAACCTCTTTAATTTCCCAACTTTAGCACTTTGCATATTTAACATTGAGTTACAGAGCTGTGCAGTGAAAGCATTCATTCATGGGCAGGGCAGTACTCCTGCGCTAAAATAGTACAGATGAGACTACGTGAAGGTAGCCATTACCAACTAGGTGTTTACTCTTTTTAAAAGGCTTCTCTTTTTAATTCATACATAGGCAGAAACGAAACAAAGAGGACACTTTTATTTGATTTTTTTTTTCCCTTTAAAAACAAAACTGTAATTTCAATTTAAGCTTGACTCTCATCAGGAAGTCCAATTTAAGAGAATAAGTATTATCTCTTTTGAAACTGAGAGAGGAGTAAGCTTTTAAACAGGTTTAAGAAGATGCAGACTTGGAAATAGTTGTGCTGTCCCTCCATTGGAGTGGAGTCAGCACAGATAACAGCATTTCTAATCCTGGAGGCATTTCTCTGGGGTTGTATAGTGATAGCAGAGGATTAAGTATGCTGACAATGTCAGTCCATTGATTTGCTGGATGAGTGGAGTTAAGGATTTTGGGATTGATGTGGCTAGAATATTTTGGCTGTGTGTTTTCTAAACCAGTTTTATTACCTACAATTAATATGCTCATATAAAGCATCTTCTGTATTAAGTAGGAAATACTAGATATCTGGGGGGTAGCTATATTCATGCTCTCATTTGTATTTTTCCCTTGAAACTAGTTACATAACAAATACATTAAATATATTAAGAATATAAACCCACTTGTTTTACTTTACTTTTCAAATAACTTTTAAATGCAGCTACGAGATTTGGTTAGTTTTCTTTTTTTAAAAAAAAAGAGTTGAGAAAGTATCAAAGAAAAGCAGCTAACAAATTATATAACGCAACAATTGAAAGAGTTAGAAATAAAAGACTTACTATGTGGAATCTGGCCTAGCCAAGGAACACTCTGTAATACAATTATAAAGATCAAAGAAAAAATAATAGTACTTTAGGCAAGAAATTAATTAAATCAGGCGATTCACCACTGGCTGTTAAGATCATTTAATCATTATCCAGTTTTCTGATTTGCTTTTCTGCTTGTCCTTCTTGCTTATTAGTTTTTAATAAAACAGCATAAGAAAATTTAAAAGTTAAGTTACACATTCTAAGTTACTGCCACACCAACTCTTTATTGTTCCTTATAGTAACAACAGGCACTAGTTCTGCCAGTGCCTTGTCGATTTTTACTTCCTCTCTTATAAAATCATACACGATTGCTGAATATACCACTGCACATTTATTTCCTTGTAAAATTAATAAATACACCCTAGGTTGTATGGATAGTGTATTTTCTGCTGCTTAGTTGAAATAGCAAATTTCATATTGTCTGTTTTTTTCTTAAGTTGTTTTATATATGAGACGATTCTTTAGTCAGAGAATTGGGACTATCATGCAGTGAAAATGGGGTAGAATTGAAGCTAAGGCAGTCACTAGCCAAGAAACACGTTTCTTTCAATTTTCCATAGCAAGGATAGTATCAAACATAGAGCAAAGAGAAGAAAATCAGTCATAACATATATACATATTCATGATGATATTCAAGGTTGGATAATTTAATGCCAAATCATCTGCATCTCAGTTTACTGAAGAGACTGAAACTTTAAATTGCAAGTCCCTGAGCAAGTATTTTTAATGAATTGTGTGCTTCAGGACAACATCGTACACTGGAGAAATGTGATAAGGCACAACTTAAAGTCAGTACTATGCAAGATTTTGTAG